CCCCCCCCCCCCCTCGCCCCAGAGTGATGTCATCGCAGTTTCTGCCAGCCGATGGGCTGCCTGCCAGCCCGCCATCTGCCCCCCCCAGCCGCTGCCCGTCCCCGCGGTGCGGCCGGAGGGGCATCACTTGCCGGAGCGTGGCAGCCCCGGGGAGGGCACCGGGGAGGGGAGCCCCTCCCAGCACTGTGGCAAAAGCTGAACACGTCGTTTAGGCCAAAAACAGGGGTACGGGGGCCCTGCGGTGTCCGTGTGCGAGACAGGGAAACAGTAAAGAAAGATGAGCAAGAGACTGGGTGTGGGGCGGGGGGGAAGAGGCAGCAGCTGGGTGGAGAAACGCGGCAAGATGTAGCGGCCTGGGGAGGAGAGGGACTGCCTGAACGAAAGGATGTGTAATGGAGACGGCAAAAATCCGTCCCTGGTGCTGGGCCGTCCCTGGTGCTGGGCCGTCCTGAGGGAATGGGAGGAGCGGGCTCCCTTCGGAGGATAATAAACTCTGGAATGAGGGTGTGGGCTCCTTGAGCCTCTCTCCCCCCCTCATTCCAGATGCATGATGACACCACGTCCTGCCATCTCGCTGGCTTCTCCCTTTTTTCCTTTCTTTCTTTTTTTTTTTTTTTTTTTTTTTTTTTTCTTTTTTTTTTTTTTTTTTTTTTTTTTCCCAAAAAATCGTATTTTGAAGACAACCAAAAGTAGAACGTGTTCTGGGTGTGGCTGCATGTAATTTACCCAATAGCCAAAGTGGGGGGGACCGCTGAAGGGGAAAGACAGAGCGTCTGCTGCTGAAGGGAGTGGAGACCGTGGGCTGCAGTAAGTGATGGGGACCCTATCTATTCTCTCAGTGCTCCTCAAGACAATTTAAAAGTAGAAGAGAGTGGAGGGAGATAACAAGGAGAAACTTTTCTTTGCATGCTGGGGGTGTGTGTGTAGGAGTGCTTGGCCACCTGGATGAGAAAAGAGATGGAGACTGGAGAAAGAGAAAGAAAGCAGATGGAGTTATATGTTCAGTCCAAAATGTTTCGGAAACACCTGGAAAACTGGCCAGATTAGGAGACAGGTGGGAGGGAGACTAGGAAGACCAAATGGTCTTGAGAGGGAAACAGGCAGCAAGTGAAGATTTTTTGTGCTGTAGGGGAGAGTATCCCTGTTCCTGCCATGGCTTTCTTATGACTCCTCTCTCCTCCACTCCACAGGGATGAAGACCTCTGGAGCCTGTATACTGTTGTGTTTCATAGCCCTCTCCTTGTCCCCAGCTGGTGAGTGCTTATGCCAGGGGGAGGATTTCTTCTCCACCCTGGCCCCGTGGAGTTTCCTGCCCAGGCTAGAGTGCCATGACTTACGGAGAAAGACAGAGCAGTGAAGAGGGAAGGACCGAACAGGAAAGGCAAGGTGGATGTGGGGTTGTAAGGAAGGATTTAGGAACTGGGGACTGTAAGTCACAAAAGACAAAGGTCCACAGTCTCCACTGGAGGGATGTGTGGATAAGGAAAACAGCCAGGTTGCGTTGAGAAGGAGGGTTAGCAGTGCTTTGTGCTTGCTATAGACTGCTGTACCACCTGTGTTTGCATGATCTGCAGAGCATTTCCCAGTGCTCCACAAAACTTGTCTGTTATAGTTGTGAAACATTTGCTGTCACTAGCAGTTCCTGCTGGAATGGCCCCATTCCAGGCCACTCAGCTGCTGGGAGGTTTTCTAGTTTTTTGTATAGCTCTTTTGAGAAACCTAACCTCCATAGTTGAAACCACTGTCTGCTTTTGTTACTGTTGTTCTGTTTTGTGGCATCACGTCTTTGTTTGCTTGGAGTTACTTTGGCAAAAATTCAGGTGGGATGAAATTTGTTAAAAAAAAACCACAAAAAGCCCAAAACAAGGGCGGCATCAGACATTATAGTCAGAAGACTCAGGACGGACAGCAAAAGAAGATTAATTCCAGTGAATGGAAAAAGCTTCACCCAGGAAAGACTGTATGTAGTAGACAAACGATTGCACCTATCACATTCAAGTCAGGTTATTCCAGTCTACTCTCCTCGGTCCTCCCCTCATGCTGAAACCTGATTCTGCTCCCAATAGCACTTTTTCCTGTAAAGGTGCACAGTAGTGGTTGTCATGTATGTGACTGTAAAGCAGGAAGGTGAGGCAGCCAAGAGATGAGCTTGTAGGTGGCCTATAAAGTTAGAGGAGGAAAAAAAAAGGCAGTAGTTTTTATCATGCTTGGAAGAGGCCTGAAAAGACGATTTCTTATTTTTGAGTATTTTGTTTTAGCATTTCTGATTTATTTTGTTGTTTTAACATGGAAAACAACAGCAATTGCTAGCTGGTCTCTCATTGTCTCTTCTGGTTTGGGGTGAGCTACAGATTCGGTGAATTAGGGTTGCAGTTTTCTCAGACCTCAAGGATGATTTTATTGTGACTTGGACAATAAAGTCTATTGATAAAGCATATGAATTGGGTACCATAGCAAATATAAATTTAAGTGATTGAAATTCTGATAAGAAAGTCACCTCTTTTGTCTCCTCATTGACAGAGGTTTCACTTCACTTGTGTTCTGTTGCTTTAGAATTGGACCAGTTTTCTAGTTATCTCCTAGGGAGAGGGAAAAACAAAAGCTACTAAGAGCTGATTTTTCAATGTTAGAAGAAAGGAGGGGAGCCTCCCTCCTTTTTCCATATGACTCTTGTTTCAAATCTGGCACTGCTGGCCCCTGCAATGGTTTCAAGAATTTGTGTCCTTCCTTTTGTATCAGAAACAAATGACAAAGAGTTTGATATCATTTACAAAGTGTTTGATTTTTTTTTTCTCCTCTGCTTGTTACTTTTAAGAGATTAGCCAGAACAGGGGAAGTTTTGCTCTGCACTACGTTGTGCACTTAAGTTATATATGTCTGGCTCTCCCTGGGTCAGGCACCAGTCGCTGAGCTCTTGCTGGCAGCTGGGTGGGGAAGGGAATAGCAGGGTCCAGTGCCTGCTGTAATGCTGTGGAGCAGGGTTATATAGGCATCCCAAGAGTCTCTATGCTGCCTGCAAGCAACTGCTCTTGGAATGAGGAAGAACTAAGAAGATCCAGACCTGGTAGTTTTTACCCGTGAAGTGCTCTCATTAACAGAAAGCTAAAAGCTGAGTTCATGAGATGTAGCAGGGTGTACTGGTTTTTGGGCTGGTCTTACACACATCCCCGCAGTGCCCCAGATCACTGTGTTTTTCCTGCCAACTTCTTCCTTCATCCCACCCCAGTTATGCAGACATTTCCCTCCTCTGTGGCTAGCAGGAAATATTTTCATATTCCTGGCTGCTGTAGGAAGCAGCTCTCTCACTCTTTATATTTGGACAAGTGAACAGTCTAGCTCAGTTTCAATTTCTCCTCTTCCACACAGCAGGTACAGGCAAGCCTTCATCGTTCTCCCCCTCCAGTGCAGAACGATCTGCTGTGTGCTCCAGACCTGGGCAGGATAATGGACCAGATAATTATTTGCCTAAGGAGCTACAAGACCTACAGTCTGTTTCCTACTGTGCCAATTACTTGATCTGTGACCCCAAGCAAATAATTTCCATGACTCAGTTTCCTCTTTTATAAAATGGACATAGGGGTTTTGACCAGCCTCCAGAGCAGGGAGGCAACGTGCAGTTTGTTTTCGAAATGTGTCAAATGGGATTTAAGAAATGCAAAGTCCAGTAGTGAACCTGGAGGTACTGTCTTGTCGCTGTGCCTAGCCTTTGAACCTGGTGGAAGCAGCAAGGATAGGATCAGGACCCTCTGTATGAACAAGTCTTTAAAGAGCAAGCCCAGCCAGCGGTGGAGGCTGAGGCAGAGCGGAGAGCATTTCTTCTTTCAGCAGGGGGCAGTGGTGTCTCCTGGACAGATATGCATCTCATAAACATTTCACAAAGCCTAGAGACCATAGAAATCCCTCTCTCTGTCCTTTCTTCACTCCCCTCTCTTCCTTCTCTTGCAGACTGGTTTCCATGGGTGGTCAATGGACAAGAAGTGGAAAGTGCAACTGGTAAGTATTACAGACATGTTACTGCCAAAGACTGATCATATGACCCAGTTGTCCTGTGTAGTTACAGCCTGCTTAACTGCAAATGCTGTTCTTTATTTCCTTACCTTTCAGTGAAGATTAAACAAGCCCTCCAAGATAACCTGCCAATTGTTGTGTGTTCTTTACAAATAATTCACTAGTATTGGGGTCCTGAACGCTTAGCTGAAGGCCTGAAGTTACGTTCACAGTCAAAGGAGTGGGAGATCCCTGAGAGGAACTCTACTGCTGCTCAGGAAAATCCCAAGAAAAAGGGTGCACAAATGGCATGGTGCTTTAGCATTGAGGCCACTGAGAAAGGATATTGTTTTATCTTTCTGGGCCTTTTTCCATTTCTGTGACATGATAAGATGAAATGAATGTATTTTTGCATCATGCTTCAGCACCCAGAAGAACCATAAGGGCCTGCCCCTGCCTGTTCTTCAAACTGAAGCCCCTGGCTAAGCCATCAGGCATCTCCCAGCTATGATCCTGTCATGTGCGATACCTGGGGCTTCCCAGAGTACTCTTTAGAAACCAGTCCAAAATTTGTCCACCCAGCTTCCCTTTTCTTCACACTTTAACCCTCCATCACACCTACTCCAGTTTTGCCATCAGCTGCCTTTCAAAGAAATTAATCTGCTGATGAATTTCTGCAGTCAAGGCTCAGTTCTGGAACTGCCTCCCTCCTCTGCAGTGGGTGCCTCAGCTGTCTGTCTTACGGCTGTGGGAGCCATCAATGCCTTCATTTCAGGTGTCTGTCTTTCCCATCGAGATGCCCACAGTGACCATATCTGAGAAGTCGGAGTATGAATCCAGAGTTCAGTAAGGGTTGATGCAACACATGCACTAAGAACTGAAAAGGGGGATGGGGATGGATGGGATGGGGGAACTGTGTTTATTCATGTATTTACTGGATTGGATCCTACTGTGTCATGAGCTTACCATGGCAGCCAAGGTAATTCCAGCTAGCTCTGGCTAGCTATGTAACGGACCACACAGTAAAGACAAGCTCTCTCAAGGACATTCTCTCTTTTCCAGGTGAACTTAGCACCGACTCTCTTATCAGCACCTCTGGTAAGCTCCTATCTCTTGGCAACTTCAGGCTTCTTTTCCCCTTTTCACCTTTACCCTTGCCTACATAGCCCCAGAAATTACCCACTGTGCTCAGAAACTCCTCTTCCTCGCTGTTAACATACAGCAGTGCTCTTCCAGTGTTCATGGCTGTCTAAGGAGTTGTCTGGGAGATGAATTTGGGGTGGCTTAATGGCCTGTTGTGCAAGGAATTGCCAATCTCACCGAGTGTACCAGGGCTCTCTGAAGCTGTTTGCCCTGCATGAAGCCATGAAATCAAAGCTCACGCAGCCTGGGCTTGCAGAGGAGGTTGTGGGAAGGAAGAGACTAAATGACAAGGGAGAGAAATTGGTCAGACTCACCAGTTAGCTGGGGAGCACTGGGATATAGGTCGTGTCCATGTCTGCTGTCAGCTAGCAGCCATGCTTGAGTGCTCAGGAGACAGAGGTGGCAAAAAACCTGAAAGATGGTAGTAAAGCAAACTCTGAGCGGTGGTGGGATGGGGAGGTGGAAATATTGTTGCTTTAGTTCTGTTTTCCGTGCCGTGCTTGCAGCTATGTCACTGGGGGGCAGCAAAATGTATGTGAAAAATAGGGTAGGTGGAGGACACTTGGAGATGTATCATGCAGTGTTCCTCCTTAGAGAGCCAAGCCTTGCTATGGTGATAGCCCCAGGCGGGGGACACAGAGCTGAAGGGAGTGTAGGCATTTACAAGACAGATAAATCCTGCCGGACTCATAATGGGGAATGGAGGAGAGGGACAGAGGCTCAAGAAGGAGCCTCCCCACTTTTTCCATGAGAATCCTGTTTTGAATCCAGCACCACTGGCCTTGGTGATGGTTTCTCTCTCTGCTGGGGGGCAGTGTCTCAAACACATCCCTCTGAGGTAGGGGGACCAGGCAGGACAGGGAGAGGGAGAAAACATCTGGTCAATGATATGGTTCAAAAGCCAAAGGAGTGGCAGCATCACTTGGCTGTTGCTGTGAATTGTGCTCTGTGTGTAGGAGAGCTCATCTGAGGGTGGTGTCCTGTTCTCCAGGGCAGCAGTTCCGTGGTCTCTCCTCTGCCCTGTGACTAACAGCTGGCTAGAGTATTGTGGTCAAGCTGACCAGCTGTCATGGGACAACACCGGAGGAGAAAAGTGGAAGCACAATATTGTATACACAAGGTGCATGATCTTCCTGATGGGGATGGGAGGTGAGAGCAACCTGTGTCAGACTCGTGTTCAGTGTGTGAGACCTGACAGTCGTCGGGAGGGTAGATAAGACTTGGTGCCCAGACCAAACTGGCGGTGGCTAACCTACATCTAAACCTGAAAAGACTTAATGTAAAGCTTTTGCATCAGACTTTGGCTTCAAAGTGCTTCTTGCTGAGGGATCAAGAAGAAACTCTTCACAAAGGACGTGCCATGGGACCCATCTCTGGTCTACAGCATCCCATCAGCTCTAGGACACCCAGCATATTTGCAGGGAAAGCTTGCAGTTACTCTGACAACATCATGATCAGCACTGTCTGTGAGCCAGATGCTGGATGGGTACGGGTCAGGTGCCCATGGTGAGCCATGGGCAGAACTGTGGGAGGGGGAGAGAGGCTGAAAGCTCAATTTAAGATTTTTCAGAACATCTTCTCTTTTTCCAGCTGCAGCTGTCACGCCACCTGTTCTTCTTAGTCCTGGTGAGTTTACTCTCAGTTCACAGGCAAATGTTATGGACCCCCCTTCTCTCTGCTTGCCCAGTCCTTTGCACACCCAGAATCCTGCCTTCCCTGACGGCCCCCCTGCAGCTCCGACACCCAGAAGACTCCTTCTGTCTATGGCACATGAATAGAAGTCCTCTATAACTGCTGATGAAAACTGTGCTTGGTAGTCAGTCCTCCAAGTTCCTTTCCAGTTTGTCACTGGGTAAATAATAAAATGTATTGGTTAACTGTGGTACAGATGGGTTGATTTATTAGACGGAACAACAAACCAACCTCCTTTTGACCCCTTGCCATGGACGTTAATGAATCGGCACTCTGGGGATGCTGTTTCTTGACGAAGTCACTGTTCCTTAGTAAAAGGCACTCACAGGCCTCTTTGCTTCTTGCCTAGATGGACAGCAATTACAGTGACTAAATAAATTTACCCAACCTTTTGAATTATAAATCAAGATGCCCTTATATTGTATTTTGGACAGTAGTGGTGACGCTTTATGGTAAAGCTCAGACAGATTTTTAGCATTTTTGGCTGGCTATCTGGCACTAGATTAATTTTGGATTTTTACTTTCTCTTATGGTATCATATCTGTAACAAAGAAATCTTTTTCCACATTAGAAGTTACAATGGTAGGCTCTCGAAAGACTTTCCAGTTATTTGGTTTGTGTAAGCTGATGTCTAGGAGGGAATCATGGTAAATCACACTAACTTTGCTACCCTCTGTCTTCCAGTTCAGTCTGACAGCGAAACTACAACGGCTTCATCAGGTATGTTTAAGTTTTCTGCCTTAACCCCCTCCCAGACCCACTTTCACCAGCCCTGTTACCTCTCCAGGCAGGTGCTGGCTGAGCACTGAACTTTGTCTACTGGAAAATTCCCTTCACCCTGTTCCTTGAGTTAGAAGTAATAGAGAATGATGGTAGTAGAAGTTGAAGTCTTCCCCTGGGTGGCATGCCTGGCAGGGGAGGAACTGGCAGATCACCAGACCAGATACACTGAGCCAATATTCTGTCATTGTTAGTGGCCAAGACCTAGCGTTGTGGAAGAAAATGCAAGAAAACCCATCATAGCTACAGCTTTGATTGTCCAGAAAAGAAAGGAACTAGATTTGTATTCCGAAGTGTGAGATTGCAGGTCTATTAGCAACATGTCTTAAACATGCAGCTATAATTTACATTTTGTTTATTTGTGTCTGTCCCCTCTACAGCATGTGCCTTCTGTATTGAGGATTCCCAGTGGGCTTGTTCTGCGTTTCGCTCAACTTTCCCTTACTTTTGTTTTATGAGGCAAGGGGGTCAGAAATGTCTGCCTTATTTTCCTCTTCTCTCCACCATCCCCATCTCTCACAAGAGAGTGGAAAGTAGAGGCTAGGGGCCTTCCCTAGAAGCCTGGAGGACAGTACCTAGTGATGATTAAATGTGTGCCAGAATGAGTGCACCTGCCGATGACGCTGGATTGCACCTATGTCTGTCTGTCTGTGTGTTCCCAGATTGTCGTGAAGAAAAGTTCCCTTGCACACGCCTGTACTCTGTTCACAAACCAGTAAAGCAGTGTATCAGCTACCTCTGTGTTACAAGGTAAGAAACCAGCAAGTCCCTTAAAAAAGCCCTAAAAACTCCACAGAAACAACATGTCCAGTTCAGCAGTTGTTTCCTTTGGAGACGAGAAGTTTCCTTGGAGAACCAGTTGGTGAGATGAGTCGTGTCCTTTTAGGGTGATTAATTAAAACAGCGCAATAACTATTATCTGTGCAGCACTAAGAAGCTGTAATGTGCTCTATATTGTAATCTTTATTAAAGGTACTTGGCCAGTTCATGAAGTCTTGTCAAAGATTACTTTCCTATTGATAGCAGCTTTATTCTACACTAACTAATCCTAAAAATTTAGGATTTGCCTCCTCATCAGTGAATATACACGTTTATTGCTTGTATCTCTTTTTTGTTTCTTTGGGTTCTTGTGCCTTTCACTGCTTGGCATGCTCCTGGTGATCCCTCAGTGTGCGTCGCATGTACATAATAAACAAAGAGGTGTGCTCTCGCATTGTCTGCAAGGAGAATGAGGTCATGCAAGGTGAGTGATAGCACAAGCTAGCCTAGAAGAATAGCTGTAGCCATCTGATAGTCTCCAAACTAACTATCCAATCCCCACCCATATGTAGTAGTTTCCCTGGACTTTGGGGAAGCTCTAATGCCCCCATACACATACTGTGAAAAGCACTGGGAAGTAGATGTCGTACTACCAAAAAGTATGAGAGCTCGGCCTTTCCCAGTCTTGATGATGTGCCACTAGCCCCAGACACGCCCTTACTCAAAGTTGCATTCCTTTGAGGTTAAAGAGTAACTCTCAATATTTCTATTCATGAATAGAAACAGGATCCAGTCTAGATTTTTTATGCAGCCTTTGTTGCAGCAAAATACAAGTGATTTTAATATATACTGTACATGAATAAAGCCAGAAGGAAATTAATGAAAGCCTAAGGACTTGTTCACTTTCCTCATGTATATGAGGATTCAGCAGTTCCAACAGTTTCTGTAGATGCAGTGAAGGGTGTACCTCTGGTGGCGAAGAATTTGAAGGAAACTTTGATTATCTGTCACCATGTGTGTGTCTGCTGTGTCTTCAGATGAGATCTGTCGCCAGCTGGCTGGCCTTCCTTCTCGACGTCTCCGCCGATCTGGGCAACCCCTGCATCTCCCTTGCAGACAACTCCTGGAGCAGCAGCGCAGGCCTGATGCCCTGTGAGCTACCAACAGTAGGAGAGAAAAAGGAAGGGAGAGAAGAGAAATCATCATCCACTACCTACAAGCCAAGACAAGTCCTCCTTGTTTGTAATTTCCCCATCATTTCATTGCTTCTCTGCCTTCCTCCACATCCTCTTCTTCAGGTGCTGCACTACACAGAGTCCTCTCTCTGCTAGTCTGTCATGGTGGCTCTTGTCATCTTCTGAATCTGTTGCTGAGGATGTGCGATGCTCCCCTCTTTTTTCTCAAACTCTGGCAGGCCATGAACTGCTCATTTCCCAGAGGTCCTTATAAATGTGCTGCATCTGCTCTTGCTTTGCCCCTGCAGAGGGACAGACATGGGGACAGGACGTAGTCCTCTCCAATGGTACAGGTGCCCTAAGCTGCATCACATGTGGAGGAGTGCAAACCTTTTTATGCCCTCGGACTCCTGGCGTAGTTTCTTGCATGGCATCACTTTGAGTTCAGATATGATTTGTCAGCCTGAGCCTCTCCAGTCCTCCTGAGCCACTGAGTTTGCTGTGTCGTAGCACAGCCTCCTCCTGTGTCTGCTGGCCTCAGAGAAGTGACAACTGAGAGACAAGCTGTCCTCAACCCTAAGCAAACCTCACTGTCCCTGTATGGCAGCAGATCATTTATAACTACCTCTGGGAAGTTCTTTGTCTCAAGCCCATTGCCTCCCTCGCACACAACTGCTACCGAAAGGAAGAATTCTGGATTTAGTATGGCATTATATTTTTCTCAATAAGATTATGTTGGAACAGAGTGCTGCCTTTTCCTCTCCCTCCTCTCCTCTCCCCCTTTCTGTCCCTCCCTTCCCATTGGAGAAATCTCTTGATGCCCATTCCAGGCAAGTTCCAGGGAGCAGTAAGTATGGCTGCCCCCACTCCTAAGCCTAAGAGAGCCTGCAAAAAACCTGCATGTCCTCACAGTACTGGGAACTTGCAATGAATTAGCTTGTCCCGGTGACTAGTCTTGGTCTGGCTACCTCCACACTCGCCAGTCGCTGAGCCTGCTTTCGATATCTCCACTTGAGTTCCTACTTCCTGACCTGGGAGATCCTCCACAAAGCAGAAGGGAGTCACAAATTGGAATGGAATGTGAGAGAAAAATCATTATCTGGGATCCCTGGGTTTTCCTGCAGGTTCTCTGGCTGTACTGACCTGCACAGAGCCAGATGCTGGTGGGGAGGTAAAGGTATCTGCAGGTGTAAGCACTTACATAGGCAGGCCAACCTGGGAAAAAGATCTCCGGTAGCACTGCATGTCTGTGGTCAGCTTGAGAACTTTGTTTTCCAGATGTATGGAGAACATTTCCAGGTATATGGGCAGTTTTCACTCTGAGACTGGGTAGGGTAAGTGGGGGAGAGCTGTCTGAAGTATATTAATTGCTCTGTGTGATTCTTAGTGGCATGATTCTGTGGGGCATCAGAGCTGTGCTGCTTGGCATATTGCAGCAGCAGATCAGCAAGACCCTGTCACTCGGATCCCTAAGTGTTGTTCCCAACTAACAGAAAGCCACATTGATAGAGCAGGCATTCACCCTGTCACATAATATACTCTGCGGCTGAACTGCGTGCCATTTGGCCTTGCAGGAGCACTGCTCTGCTGCACAGAGCCAGGCTCACACAATACAAAGAACAGTTTGCTGCACAGAGGCAGATAGCTCCGAAAAAAAAGAGCAAAAACAATTAAGGTAAGAGCCTCTCCCTGGGACTCAAATTTCTGCTGTATGCAGCAAAAAGCTGGTTACATCTTCTGTGTAGGGGAAGACACCCTGTGCACACACAGGTTTGTTCCATATAAGGTCAAAATTTGCCACATATGGGCTAAATCTCTCTATATTAATCCAGTATACAAGAGAAATAATTCCAAGTTATGCAGTGACTGGAATTTCATCCTGTACATAGGGGCACTGCCCCCCTACACAGAGATCCATGCTCTTCTTGGCTGCTCGAGGCTCGTTAGTCTAGGGCTGGAGGAGGAATTTCTCTGTACTGAGAGTGTGCACGTTTCTGTAGAGAGGAGGGCACTGAGAGCTTGATCTCAAAGACATTCAAGCCACTGGCAGCCACTGACTTCAATGCTGGAGTGCCTGTGGAATTTGCCTGTGTGGAGGAAGGTATGATGGAGATGAGAGGTGAGAGGGAGCTCTTGGAAATTGGACTAGGCCAAGTCTCCACTCTATATTTAGAGTTGAATGTAAGCTGATATAGATATAGATATATAACTGTATAACATAGCTACTGTACAGTATATAGAAATTTAACATTCATAGAGTTTGGGGAATGGTTAGAAGCCTTTCTGTTGCTTGCTTTCGGCAGGGACAGGAAGAGGTGCTCCTCCCCAGGAGAACACTGTTTTAATGCTAGAGTCCATATAATGCACACAAAAATATTAAAAGAAAATTTATTTCCTGTTATTGTTGCCAATTCTCCTGTGTTTGGGTTTATTTGTCTCTATCTGTATTTCCTGCAGATTTGTGGGCAGACTTGACTCCAGCCCAGATCTGTCATTTGGACCTCTTTACTCCCTGCTAACCCAGTCCTCTGCTACCACCCTTCCTTCACTCATACATCACAGGTCTTCCTGGGATGTCATTATTTTTTCTGGAGATACAGAAAATTATCTTCACCATTTTTTTTCCATGAATAGCTGTACTAGATTTTCCTGACTGTTGGTAGCTGCTGAGCACAGGGATAACTCCTCCTAGCCCATGAGATTTGTGCTGACAACACATCTTGTCACTGTGCATGTGCCATGACTTACTGGTGGAGAATTGCCATCTCCAAATAAAATGGTAAGATGGCTGAAATAAGAGAAGAGCTGTGATAAATCGTCTCATAAGCAAAGAAGAATTTGTTCACTAGAGCCATTTAACTCAGTAATGGGAATAACTGAAAGACTACATTAAAAATTACACATCTAGGTCAAAAGGATTAAGAAAATTCTCTTTTATTGCATTTCTGGCTTTTGCATAGATTCATTAGGTACTGACTACATGATATTTTGGTCAAAAAGATGGAGCACTCGGACCATGGGTGACTCTAGGCAGTGTCTTCATGTGCAAGCAGTCAAGTCTGCGTTTAGATGGTATTTCTAGAACAAAAGTGGCTGTGGCCCAAATTACCCATTAAACTGCCTCTGACAGTGTCCCATAGTTCTTCAGGACTAAACCACACAATGCAGGTTATTGCACAACACTATTCCCTAGAGTCAGTGCTCCTTCCTGGCTAATGCTGCGGTGTCCCTGTCTCAGACTGTTATAATGGAAACAGCTTCAGCCCGAGTGACTGTAGATGTTGCCCCCATCTCCACAGGCCTGATGCTGGTCTGACTCATGAGCTCTTGGCCTTTGCAGTTTCCCTCTATTGGCACGTTCCACGGCTGTGTGAGCAGAGCACAATATATGCCGTTGACTTTTTGTAATTCGGTTTATCCTTCCCTTTCCTTATGGTACTGGAGTCCTCAGAGAGGCTTCCCCATCTTCATTAGCCCTTCTCCCATACACAGATTTCTCTCCCCTGCCATTCCAGCCTGAATTGTCATGGTGCTGCAGTGCTGGTCTCTGGACGTCGCCTTCTCTTGTACGCTGGGGAAATGGTTTTCAATACAGCTCTAGCCAGGCCTGTTTCTCATGAAGTTGGACTAACCACAAAGAAAGCTGCCAGAGTCCCATTTTACATGCATGGTGTAGAGTTTGTGGCTGATTTTCATAAACTCTTCTGAACTGGAGTGGGGGTTAGATGGCCTGCAGTCACTTCCCACACAATGGTGGATCTTGCGCTGTCATGGCTCCTGAGTACTGATCGGTGATACCAGTTTGATGGCTGCTGTTTCAAGTCCCCAGTTTGAAGTGGTGCCTCACTTCGCTGGACATACGGAGATGGAGCTCCCTGCAAAGGAAGCTGGTGACACTGAGAGCTTTCTGCTGCACCTGGAAAGCAAGGGTTGTTCCACCTCCCCATCTCCTTCTCCTCTTTGTTTTCTGCCTCTGTTTTCCTCATCTCTTTCTTCTCTGTTCATATGTTTATCTCAGAGCAGGAAACCTGGTGAGGAGGACAGGGGCTGAAGGAAGGATGCTCGATGAGGTGACACACGGCATTGCCAAGTAGGGCTGGGGGCAGCGCTTGGCCCGTACCAACTCTCCTTTTCTCTTGCCCTCCAGTTCTCACGCGCTGTGGCTCCCTCAGCCACCAAGCTCGGGATTTTCTGAAGGGAAGGACATGCCAAGTCAGAGCAGGGAGGGGAGAATGGCACCTCAGGTCAACTTGTGCACTGTGGGAACAGCAACCGCATGTCTTGAGGTGGTGGCCTCTGGTTGCAGAAACAAGGCGAGGAGGAAGGGGAGTGCTGCAGGAAAGTACGCGGAGGCTGTTGGAAGCAGCTGCCATGTCACCTGGAAGTGCCATGTTGCCTGGATCTTGTCCATAAGAACCTGCAGCATGAACAAAATAGGTTGTCATCAGGCCTCTCAGCTTGGAGGGATCCCTCAAGAGCATACTGTTGGCTGGGGTGTGGTTTTGTCCTTCACAGAGGGGAGAGGTGCTTACAACCCATCCAAAAAGAGCACCTCTATTACATAAAGAATAGCTGGGTTGAAACCAAAAGGGATTTTAGTTTTTTGGTTTGGTTTTTTTTGTTTGTTTGTTTGTTTGTTTTTAATGTTATTTGGTTGTTTTTTTAAAAAAATATTTTAAAGGTGCATGATTCCATAACATTTACTCTTGACACCACATGGTCTGACATTGTCCAGTTGTGAACAGCGCCTTGACTGGGGCACAGGAAATCTGAATTCCATTTCTGGGTCTCCCTTTCACCTCCAGCTCTCTGATCTTCAGCATATGGCGCTGTTTCTCTCTGTTCCCTGCCATACTTAGCCCCTGTAATGTAGCAAGCTAGAATAAACTCCCACAACATAGACAAATGGATTTTAGTCCATTAAAAAAAAAAACAACACTATAAAAAAAGTTGTGTGAAACATCATGGATTAATTTGTCTACCTTTGCTATTAATGTAAATGATTTTTTCAAATAAAAATGTTTTCAATAATATAAATTATATCAATTGAAATGCAAGTTGCATGTACTTGTTGCTACTATGTTGAAGAATATAGAAAAACTGAATTGGTGAAAGTCATCAGCAGAGCAAAACTTCATTTAATGAATAAATTCTCTTTCAGAATGCTGTTTTGGGCATTTTACTAAGATTGCAATTTCCATACAAATACAGCTTGTCACAAAACAGACTAACAAAAGGATGTAATAAATAAACATATGTAATTCAATGTGTCTAAATGATAAGTAATGTGAGAACTCAGCTGCTTACATATAAGAGTAAATGTACCTGAAGCTGTGCATTTTTTAAAATAAATGTCCTTATTGAGATAGTAAACCTTTCAAGTTAAGTTCATAGATAAAATTATGTTGAAAGTTAGCAAGTAGATCTAATTTAAAAGCTAATCAGATTGCTTAGAGCCTTGTCCAGCTGTATTTTGAAAAAGTCAACAAGGATGGAGAATCCACAACGTGTTCCAGTGCTGCACCACACTTAAGATGGAGAATGTACCTCTATGCAACTGCGTGTAGTGTGGGGAATAAACAAGAGGGGCTAGAGATGCATGCGTGCCTGCAGGGCTACAATCTTTTTGTTGTCACGGAGACATGGTGGGATGGTTCCTATGACTGGACTGTTGGAATGGAAGGGTACAGGCTCTTTAGGAAGGACAGGCAGGGGACACAAGGAGGGGTGGTTCAACAACCAGCTGGAGTCCATGGAGCTCCACCTGGGGGTGGGTGAGGAACTGACCTTATGGGTCAGGATTAAAGGGAGGGCAGGGACAGGAGACATTATAGTGGGGATCTGCTACAGGCCACCCAACCCGGCAGACCAAGCAGATGAGGCCCTCTATAGACTTACAGGAGCATCCTCACATTCACAAGCCCTGCTCCTCACGGGGGGCTTCAACCACCCTGGTATCTGTCAGAGGGACAACACAGCAGGGCATAAGCAATCCAGGAGGTTCCTGGAATCACTTGTCCAAGTGATAGAGGAGCCAGCGAGGAGAGGTGCTGTGCTGGACCTTGTTCTCACCAACCAGGAGGGGCTGGTGGGGAGTGTGAACGTCAAGGACAGCCTTGGCTGCCATGACCATGAAATGGGGGAGTTCATGATCCTTAAGGCGGCAAGGGGGCACACAGCAAGCTCACTACCCTGAACTTCAGGAGAACAGACTCGACCTCCTCAGGGATCTGCTTGGAGGAGTAACATGGGATAAGGCCCTGGAGGGAAGAGGGGCCCAAGACAGCTCTTGGTCAAGGATCTCCTCCTCCAAGATCAGAAGTGATGCACCTCAACAAAGAAGAAGTCAGGTAATGCCATCAGGAAGCTGCATGAATGAACAAGGAGCTCCTGGACAAGCTCAAACATAAAATGGAAGCCTACAGAGGGTGGAAGCAAGGACTGGTAGCCTGGGAGGAATACAGAGAAACTGTCCAGGTAGCCAGGGATCAGGTTAGGAAGGCCAAAGCCCTGATAGAATTAAATCTAGCCAGTGATGTGAAGGGCAACAAAAAAAGCTTCTACAGGTACACCAGTGATAAAAGGAAGACTAGGGAAAATGTGGACCCTCTCTGGAAGGAAAGGGGAGACTTGGTCACCTGTGATATGAAGAAGGCTGAGGTATTCCATGACTTTTTTGCCTCAGTCTTCACTGGCAAGGGCTCCAGCCACACTGCCCAAGATGCAGAAGGTAAAGGTGGGGACTGGGAGAAGGAAGAACTGCCCACTGTAGAAGATCGGGTTGGAGACCATGTAAGGAACCCGAAGGTGCACAAGTCCATGGGACCTGATGAGATGCGTCTGCAGGTCCTGAGGGAACTGGCAGATGAAGTGACTAAGCCACTATCCATCATATTTGAGAAGTCATGGCAGTCCAGTGAAGTTGCTGCTGACTGGAAAAGGGGAAATATAACCCTCATTTTTAAAAATGGAAATAAAGAGGATGCAGATAACTACAGAACAGCAAGTCTCACCTCTGTGCCCAGCAAGATCAGGGAGTGGATCTTTCTGGAAAATATGCTAGCACTCATAGAAAATAAGTTGGTGATTGGCAACAGCCGACATGGCTCCTCTAAGGGCAAATTGTGCTTGACAAATTTTGTGGCCTTCTATGACGGGGTTACAGCATGGGTGGATAAGGGAAGACCAACTGATGTCATCTACCTGGATTATGCAAAGCATCTGACACTGTCCCACACCACATCCTTGTCTCTAAATTGGAGACACATGGATTTGATGGATGGAACTCTCGGTGGGTAAGGAATTGGCTGGATGGTCACACTCAGAGAGTTGTGATCAACGGCTCCATGTCCAAGTAGAGACCAGGAACAAGTGACGTTCCTCAGGGGCCAGGGTTGGGACCGGCGCTGTTTAACATCTTTGTTGGTGACATGGACAGTGGGATCGAGGCACCCTCTGCAAGTTCACCGATGACACCAAGCTGTGTGGTGCAGTGACACACTGGAGGGAAGGGATGTGCCATCCAGAGGGACCTGGACAGGCTGGAGAGGTGGGACCGTGCAAACCTCATGGAGTTCAACAAGGCCAAGTTCAAGGTCCTGCCCATGGGTCTGGGCAATCCCAAGCACAAATACAGGCTGGGCGAGGAGTGGATTGAGAGCAGCCCTGCAGAGAAGGACTTGGAGGTATCAGTGGATGGAAAACTGACTGTGACCCAGCAGTGTGCACTCGCAGCCCAGAAAGCCAACTGTGTCCCGGGCTGCATCGAGAGAAATGTAGCCAGCAGGGCAAGGGAGGGGATTCTCTACTCCACTCTCATGACACCCCACCTACACTACCATGTTCAGGTCCGGGGCCCCAACATAAGAAGGACATGGACCTGCTCGAGCGGGTCCAGAGGAGGCAACAAAGATGATCAGGGGCTGGAGAACATCCCCGGTGAGGACAATCTGAGAGAGTTGGGAAGAGAAGAGAAGGCTCAGGGGAGACCTTATAGCGGCCTTCCAGTACTTAAAGGGGGCTACAGGAAAAGCTGGGGAGGGACTCTGTTAGGGAGTGTAGGGATAGGATGAGGGGTAATGATTTGAAACTGAAAGAAGGTAGTTTTAGATTAGATATAGGGAAGAAATTCTTTACTGAGGGTGGTGAGGTGCTGGCACAGGTTGCCCAGAGCAGCTGTGGCTGCCCCCTCCCTGGAAGGGTTCAAGGCCAGGTTGGATGGGGCTTTGGGCAACCTGGGCTAGTGGAAGGTGTCCCTGCCCATGGCAGGGGGGGTGGCACTGGATGGGCTTTAAGGTCCCTCCCAACCCAAACCATCCTGTCATTCTACAATTCTATGGATGTTTTCTTGAGGTCAGATCAGCTGCTTTGGTGCAGCTTTTCTCTGTTGCCTCTATTCTGTTTGCTGTGCACCTCTGAGCAGACTCTGTCTTCATCTCCCCTACAATACTACTGCAGAGAATTGAAGAAAATAGCAAGAAGAAACATTTAATTCATAGAAAGCCTGAGTTTTATTACAAAACAAGGAATTTTAATTATTACAATTAATTATCTTCCTTTGGGAGAACTCTGTTAAAAAATGCAAAACGTGATGAAAATCAATGGTTCAGTTAAAAGAGTTGCACTCTGTGTTCCTGAAGCAGGACACTGTCTGTGCTCATACAGCATACACCCCTTGTGCACTACCTTCTCAGCATGAGGCCACTTACAGGTTCTCTGCCTTGGGTTTGGTAGATGTGGGTTTCACTGTTTTGCCCTTAGCTGGATCTTTGCTTTTTTGGTCTGTCAGCTTTCATATTCTCTAAGCTCTTGATTGCTTTCTTGGCCATGGTGGCTACCAGTTTCTCGGATTTCCTTGGGATTTCCTTCACAGGCACAGCTAATCTGGGCTTCTTGGCCATGCCAGTCAAAGGTCAAGTGGGGTTTTTTTTGCTGCCTTCTTGGCACCTTCCCCTTGGCTTGTTGTTGAATTTAAAGGAGCTAGAAGTACCAAGTCCTCTTGTGCTGCTCATGTCCAGGCTCCTGAGCCCCAGCCTGGTGCAAATATTGTCCTCCTGTACTGTGTAGACTTCAGTTCCTTTTCTGAGTGGTGAGAGAAAGTTCTTCTGTGCTTCTTGAAGACAGTTATCACTCTCATAATCAGTCCCCCTGGAAAGCAGATGCTTGCAGGATTGAATCCTCATGCCACCTTCTCTGGCTTCTTAGCCCATGCCTTAGAGGCTGGAACCACAGTGGCACACAAGCGGCAAGAGTTCCTTCAAACATGATAGCCAGCACAGCCTACCGACATGACATCTTGACCAAGGTTTTGGTTTCACACTGATGCACATGCCAGCATGCCACCACTTGCATTGAGTGCCTTCTACCTACAAAGCCTTTCCACGCTGAAGGCATTCCTGTGGGGCTTACTGCTCTGTTCCCTTGTAGCACTGAAGTCAGATGGTATTAGAACACACCCACTAGAAAATGCTTACACCTTTCTATGTCTCTTGTCTGGTACCCAAACAGCATGGACCAGCTGCAGCAAGCTGCATTGGCCATCATTATGGATTAACAAATAAAAACTGTTTTCTTCCACAGCCTAGACTTAGCCCCCAGCTTGGTCCTTGCTGTGGAGGAAGGGTTCAAAAGAGCTTATTTTCTGCCTGGTGCAATGTGAATATAGTTGTTCCTGAGACTCTCCACGTCGTGGTCACAATTAATTTTCTCATCAGCTCTGGTAGTTCTGTAGTTTCCCTTTGGTTTAGTCTAGGAAAGGCATCTGAACTCTTCATAGTTTATGCAAACCCCTTTGCCATTTCTGTTCCCTGAGAGTCCCCAGGGGCACTGCTTCAGGGTAGATTTTTGCCTCTCCAACCTGTGAGCATTTTTGGTCTTGTCCCCAGTTTTTCAAATCAGGATGGGAACAAGCCAGCCACCTTAAAGTAAATGTGCCTGTGCCCAACCCTACCTGTACCTGCACAGAAATTGTAGGAGAGATGAGCAGACATGGTGTCCCCGGGTTGGGTACAAACTGGGCAAAGGGAAATTAACTGGTTGTGTATGTGAACCCAAGAGCTGTATATTTTAGTGAGATATAGTTGTTTTGGGGCCACATCTGAGTGGGAGGCAAAAGCAATGCTACAAGCATTGTCTAAACCCAATGAGCACCAGTGAATTAAAATTTCTGATAATAACAGTCCATAATCAGTATTTTCCTAGGGCCTTTTCTTTCCCTTCAGATTCTTCTTCCTCCTTCTCTCATCTGCTTTCTAGGAGCTTCTACCAGCCTCTTCATCCAAGCAGAACCCATGCTTTTAGCTGGAAATGAAGGGGTATTTTTAAACTCTATGAAATTAGCTGGGAAGTTCTTAGACCATCCCCTGCCTGGACAACTAGCTCAAATGTGTCACAACTCTGACCTCACCACTTACAGCAGAAATTTGGGAGCCTCCCATGTGGTCATGGTTAAAGAAATGCCTGATGCTAACAGTCAGCACAGCCAGGCATGGCAGTGCACTAGCAAGGAAGCAAAACGGCAGAGATAACATGGCAAAGGAGGAGAGATCCTCATCATGCAATGAGAATCACTTTTCACCCCCTTCTACCTCTCTCCATTGGCCTCGGGATGGTCTCCCATTCCACCCCCATTGCCAAGAGCACTGAGCTGCCTAGAGGAGGATCAGGGTGTTGGGGACAAACCCTAATTCTACTGTCTGACACTTTGGCATTAGGGAGTAGAAGTTAGTGGTGGCATCCCACAAACCTTCTGTATACGGCCAGTGATGAGAGCATAGCAGAAGCTCTGAACTCTGGGGGGAGGAAGACAAGAAGTAGCAAGGCTATCTTGAATCTTCTGAAAATGCTTGCTTTATTGATAATAAAACTTTGTAAGGTGCAAGAACACTGCTCATGAAGACCTCCAGCCAAAGAAAGATTATACAACTGCAGAAAACTCAACACAAGAGCACAAGCCGAGGAACATGCAACATGCTGCTCTTTAATGAGCTCCCAAGCGCTTCTGTCCCAGCACCTCCAGCAAAGGACTTCTCCAAAGATAACAGGGAAGTTAAGATCAGGATTTACCACCCAGGCCCCAGGTGCAAGCTCTTTTTGCACTGAGTAGCATGAGCTGCAGCAACTGCACAAACAGGAGGTAGTAACAGGCAACTTGGTCTGTGAAACCATAACCACAGCTAGAAGGTGAGTCTCATTGTGAAAAACTGTGGTGCAAAACTGAGTTTCTCCCCGTGACAAGCAGATGATTGCAGAGATACGGAGCCAGTGACTTCCATTAAGGAGGGGGAAGATGTGATTTGGAGCAGGGTCCGGGGTGCTCGGACCAGGCGACTGAGCTGTAGGAGAACAACACTGGAACGCAGCCTGCAGCAACCTGTGCAAAAAGTGTGTTCTCCAGGTCTGCACAGCACAAGAGTCAGAAGCCAAGGCAGAAGGGCAGGCCATGCTGGAGGCTGGAGCTGCATGCACAGCTATGGGGAGCAGCAAGGTGCAAGCAGCTCTGGTGGGTACTTCCCCACCCCCCAACTCTCAGCATGGGGAAGGCGTGTTCTGCTCTGATCAAAGACTGTTTTTCTTGGTGTAAGTGAGATAAACTGCCTACCATGTCATGGCCTCAAGCTAGAGAAGATACTTGAGGACATTTAGAGCAAGTATCATAGAATCATTCAGGTTGAAAAGACCCTTGGGACTGAGCCATCAGCCCAACTCTACAAAGCTCTCCCCTACACCACATCCCCCAACATCTCATCTAAACGACCCTTAAACACACCCAGGGATGGGGACTCCACACCCTCCCTGGGCAGCCTATTCCACTCTCTGACCACGCTTTTTGAGAAAATTTTTCCCTAATGTCCAGTCTGACCCTTCCCTGTTGCAGTTTAAAGCCATTCCCTCTTGTTCTGTCACTAATCCCCTGGAAGAAGAGACCGGCACCAGCCTCTCTGCAATGTCCTTTCAGGGAGCTGCAGAGAGTGATGAGGTCTCCCCTCAGCCTTCTCTTCCTCAAACTAAACAGTCCCAGCTCCTTCAATCACTCCTCACAGGATTTATTCTCCAGGTCCTTCACCAGCTTTGTTGCCCTCCTCTGCACTCACTCCAGCATCTCAATATCTCTCTCATACTGAGGTGCCCAAAACTGGACTTTGGTCACATTTCTTAACTGCACTCATGATGGAGAAGCCATTCGCTAGGTCTCAATCTCTTCAACCCACCCCAGCCCCTTTCCTCCCTTCATGCTGGTGATTCCAGCAGGTGTCAGTCACTGGTAGCAAGGGATGGAAATGCTGCTGCCTGGAGTCAATGTGGGGGGAATTAATACAGGCAGAGAGAGAAAAAATTGTGGGGTCCAAGGATCAGGATTAAGGGTCATTAGTTCCTATAAGGAGGCCCAGTCTGTGCGAGCAGAGAGCTGCAGGGAAGGAATGAGATGCACTCACAGAACTGTGGTTGAAAATGTGTACTCAATTCAATAGTTTCACCCTAATTTGCCTCATTCTCCAACACCAAAACAAGCTCAACAGTGGAACAAAAATAAACCATGATTCAAGTCTTCAGGTAAAGGCTTTGCAGTGCAAGCCTGGAAAGCCAGATTACTAGTAAAACACATAATAATGTATAATGTTAGTGCATATCCAGCAACCAGATGCCCTCAATTCTGCATCAGTGGCATCATCGACAATCCTGCAGCATGCAGCAGTGAGCAGCGCAGGGGTCCAGTTTTCATAAACCCACCCTCCCAGTGGCACTCCCACACATCCTGAACTCCTGCCTTCTTTCCTTTCTACTTCCCTCTTCATGACCTTGGATCCCTGCTCTCATCTAACCTAGATGCAGCCTCAGCGACACTCACCCCTCAGTGCTTTAGATTTGTGTTTGCAAACCCCCTCCACCACCTCACACACTGCCCTCCCGGTGATGTCCACCTCAGGGACACCTCATACATGTCCTCACAGCTTTCATGTATCTCTGTGGTGCTTCAAATTCCACACCACGGAAGTCAGTGCTTTGTCATACAACTGCTGAAACCTCCCCAGGCATGGCATCCACAGCTGTGTCACAAGATGAGTTGGCAGCTCCAGGGACAAGGTCCTTTGCCCCATGTCCTAGACAGCAGCTGCCTCTACCTCTAGTACAGATGTTTTTTTATAGCCAGGACTGGAATAATGGGATTGGTTTGCCTGGAAGAGGTGCCTGAGCAAGTGTGTTACCGATGTGTTGGGTCTGTTGTCCAAAGTAGAGTGGTGAATCTTTGTGAAATGAACACAGAATATAATGTAATGTGCGTATAATAAACAGGCACCTCAATATATGCTTATATTAAATAAACATATACATTATATGTGCTCATAATAAACAAGAACATCAGCTTTTTTATTTGCTTGTGTCTAACTGCAAAGAACTCCACCGTCCCCTGTCTCGAGGTCCCTGTGCAAGTCAGCGTCATGGTGCATCAGCACTTGCTTGAGCAGAGAAAGTTTTTCTGCTTGAGGTTTTCACTTGAGGCAAGGGGAAGCAGGTGTCTGCGTTTCTTGTGTTCAGCGTAAGAACCAACCAACTGGTGATACTGGCGCTTGTTTCAAAATGTGATTTCTGAGCAAAGGGTGAACGGAAAAAATAAATATGAATTTATATCAGTACACACCAACACACGATTTCCTGTTGACTAAACAAGCAACCTCTCCTCTGCTTTGGGCTAGGTAATTACTTTTAATTATTCACCACATTCTTTGGTCTCTGATTTCTTAGCAATTTGCTTTCTGAATCTTTAGCAACAGTAATGGTGATATTCATCTACACCCTACACTGCTCTTCAGCCTGCTGTTATTTGTTGTTCTCGCTCCAAGACAGGGAATAGACCCCTGAGTACAAGAAACCTGAAGGGATGCTAGGACATCTTTCTGTGATCCTGATAAGCTGGAGCAGTCTCTCTTGCTAGATAACACTCCAAACACAACAGCCTTCCCCACTAACCTTTAACTGTAACTGACCTGGGCTTTGATCAGAAACAGAGATGGAGTCATATTGTTTTACTCTGACACCCCGAGTTCCTTCTCCAAATAAGTTTGCATTGAGCAGAAAGGAAGGAAAACTGTAGTGCTCAGCATCTCTCTTCACGTGTATTAGCTCCCAGCCAGAAGGGTCCCACCATATTTTAAAGATCTGGCAATTTACAGCCAGGGAGGAAGCTGGACTAGCAGCTAGATCAGGCATCAGCATCAGCAATGGTTCTCCAAATTATTTTTTTTTTAACCAGAGCAGAAGTGACATCTGCTAATGAGCAAGATCTTGGCTTGGTAAGAGACTGCAGCTCCTGCTTTAGGCAGAGCTGCATAGGAGCTGAGAGTCCCTCTCGAGATGTTGCCCTAGGCTTGCTATGAGACACTAAAACCACATCCACACCAGCAGGTTTCTGCCCTAGGGATTAGAGATAGAGGCAGAGAAGTGCTGCCACTGTGCACATTCGCACCTCCAGCGTGAGGGCAGTTATGGGTGTAAGTGAAGGGCATGAGAAAGCCTACATCAGTATTTAGACTCGAGGGCTTTACTGAAGAGTGACATAAATATAGTTCATCTGCTCATTCTTTCTTTTTTATCTCTGTGGAGAGCAAAGAGGGTCTCAAAATTTAAGGAAAAGAGCTGTTGTTTAAAACACGGACAAATGAATTCCACTTAAAGGCAGGACCGGAGAAAGGATCTAGTTAAATGTTTCATGAGACTTGTCATGTTAAACCTTTAAGAAAATCATTACACACAGATTTAATTTATGGGGAAGACCCGGCTGGCCATGAAGATATTTCTTGGCTCTTTTCAGAGCAGAATATTTTATGTCAAATTTTCTGCAAGCTTTTGACTATGGAAATTAGGAGCCAGGACAAGAATAAAGCTGAAGCTGCCTTAATTTATGTGATGAAGGATAAACAGTTGTGATGTCTAAGAAGCAGATTTCCCAGGATGTGTTGCTTTCTTTTTCTTTTTCTTTTTTTTTTAATGTCCTGTGCAACAAACAACCTCCTTGCATAATTAAAAGAAAAAAATAGTATGAAAGGGGAACAAAACGAATCTTGGTCTGACCTAGGAGATATGCCACAAGGTGCTGCTAGGGCAAAGGCTGAAAGGGGACAGCTGTTTCGTTAGGAGTGTCCTCTTTGGTAGGCAGGACAGGGATTCGCAAGCACTGCAGGCTCTTCTAGCTTTGGTTAAACACCAGGAGCCAGATCCTCAAAGAGGAGAAGTGCCACAACCCTTGAGACCAGTGCAGCTGCCAAAGTATGGATTCGTTGAGTGTGTGCCCTACCCAGATGTTTCCCAAGGAGTAGAACAGTCCAGGCCCAGACTTTCCAAAGTGCTGCTTCTTTCCCTGAAGTGTTCCATGCCAGCCACTCTCAGACACAAGTACTCTCAAAGTGCTGGGCTAGAGACTTGCCTGCTCTGTTCTGGCAACTCATGTCTCCTTTTCGTGTTTTTGCATATACTGGTTTCATGCAGTCATAGCATGCTGAAAGTCAGTAAAATTAATAAGAAAAGTAAATCAAGCAGAGAAAAAACGAAGAACTACCCTAGCGTGAGGTAAACAAAAGCCCTGTTTCTCAGCCACAGCACTGACCGTGCCCTGCTTGAGGAAGAAATGGAGTAGAATATCCCCTGGCTGTGTTGTGTCCTCAGCACCCCGCCTGCCCAAAGCTGCTGCCCCATCCCTCAGCTGCCCTTCAGCCCCGCAGAGGGTCTGGGTGCCTGGGCAGGTGCTGGGGGGCCGTGGAGGAGCAGAGTGGGGGCAGCAGAGCGTGGCGTTAGCAGGGCGAAGAGTTGTGCATCCATCCTGAGCGTGAGCCCGGGTGTGACGGCGTACAGCCCGACAGCCGTCAGACGGAGGGTCCCGGCAGGCACCTACAGATCAGAACAGCAGGATCAGGCCTTGCGTCATTCTCCACCTGCCCTTTGCGGACAGGTTCACCACCGCTCCTGACGTGTTGACACAGCTTGGGTGCCCGTGGCCATGTTCAGGTGCCAGGCTCTCCCCATCACACCCCGAGGCTCCCTCTGGAGCTGGGTTCCTCTTTGGCTTTGCTGTTGCTCCATGCTGCCAAGCAGCTACCTGGCCTTTCGGGGGAACACGGAGGAGGTCTGGGAAGGCTGACAAAAATTTGGTGTTCCCTGAGCTCCTTCCAGCCGGGCTGTGCTCCACGGTGGGGCAGGGCAGGGTCACCACCTTCACTGCACAGCTGCTTGACCCAAGGCCCGGAGGGATAGTGTGGTTTTGCCCACATTCACGTTAGTGGTACACAAGCTCTCAGGCTCCCCTTTAACCACTAGACAATGCTTCCTGCCTTGTTATGTTATTAATTCAGAATAAATTTGCAGGTGGGGAGGGCCCAATGGGGAGTGCAGTAAGGGGAGGCGACCAATGGGTGCTGAGCATCTTTCAGAACTGATGTCCCTTTGCATCTCAACCCTTTGCTCTTCACCTCCAGCAGCTCCAGAGACCTTTCTAACTCCTCCCTCAACCCCACCCTGATGAAACCCAGCAGGGGATAGATAGGGGTGAATGGGGAGGGGCACACGGGGCAGTCCACATTTCTGTACATCAAGTCTGCACAGACAGAGCCTGCAAGACAACCTCCCTGCAACCCCATCACCTGAAAGAGACCCTGGCAGTCATGGACAGGTAAAATGAGTGCCTCCAGTTTCTTGTTCATATAAAAAATGAGGGTCCTTCTCTTAGAATTAACCTGCTCCCCATTTGGTGCTCACCATCCCTTTCCCTCTCCCCGTGATCTAACTCCCTGACCCAGTCTGCTCTTGCACCTTGCATCTCTGTGTCATTCTTTCTCTTTGACTATCTACCACCCTGTACTCTTTTCCCTTTCTGTCATTTCTCTTTCTCATGACTATTCTCTGTTCCTTTTCATGCTTTTTCTTTTCTAGAAACAAACAAAAAAAAACCCAGGAAGATGAACATTCAGATGTTATCTGCCGCTTAAGCATCTCAATCCCTGCCCACTCTTCTCTCCTTATCCACCTATTCTTTCTCTTGCACCAAATTTTTGTCTTACTGTGCTTCTGCTGCTCACACCCTTGTGCTCATACGCAAAGACTGTTCCAGCACTGGATTCCTCTACTTGCACGGCAGTTACTCTGTGAGCTAATTGTCACTAATCACTCTCCTCAACTGCATATCATTCACACACTTGGGGGGCCTTCACTCTGATTTGAGGATTGGCTTCATGAATCTTTATTTGGGAAGGTCTCTGTTCAGTCTACTTCTTCAGTGCCCAGGTATAACCGCAGCTCTTGTGCCCTTGCTGCTTTCCCTGGAGCTATGCTGTAGCTATTGGAGTTTCACAGGTATCCAGCAGTTTGTACCTGACTGCACATCTGCTCAGTTGCTCCCTGCAACATCTGTTCATTCATTATTCTTCCCGTACCGGCCACGTTCTGAAATCCTCCCTAACAAAAACCCCCGGGACAGTGAACAGAGAAGGGAAAACAGGAAGGAACTGATGTTGATGAACATTTCTAGTTGAACAAATGGCTTCTGTGATTCAGAATTGTCTTCACTTTGTTCTGACACCAAAAATAATCTAAGCGATCATCATCTTATTTTTCTGGGCTTTGGGGTCACGGTCTTCACCCTTATTTGCATCTGCATGCTGTTCCACAGGGGAAAAAAACACTGAATAGAGAAAAATGGGAAGAAGTGAGAAAGGGACAGTTAGAAGAAGAGTCAGAAACATTTTGAAAGCAAATGTTTTTGCCCAAAACTTCACAAAAAAAAAAAAAAAAAAAAAAAAAAAAAAAGAAAGAAGAGAGAGAAGGGAAAACCTGTTTTCCCTAAAGTTTTTGATGTGTTGAAAAGCATTTTTCTATGTGAGCTTTGATGAAACATGAACACAACTGTCATTGTTTTTCACCTGAATTGTATGGTTCTTTAACAAGCAATTGCATTTTTCACAATTCTTCTGCTCTGTTTTCTGCTATTGTGGCACACCCCAGGTAAGAGCTTTGCAAGCCCCTGCCCTGTCATACCTGCTCATTTCCCGTGCGATTGCCTGGGCTATCCTCTCTGGACAACCCAAGGGTCTGTCACACATAGAAGGGGTGTCTCCCCTCTAGCACCTCTGTTATGGGGGAGAGTCTTTCCCACATCCCTGCAATAACACACATCTAAGAGGGAGAAGCCTGAATTGACAGTTCTGTGAGGGGACCAACGTGTGTGTGTGTGTGTGTGTGTGTGTGTGTGTGTGCGCGCGCGTGCGTTAGGGAATATACACCCATGTTCATAAGTGTTTGTATGAAGGCAGGGAATTAGAGTAAATGTAAGATGGTGGGAAGTGGGGTGACTCTAAGTGTGAGAAAAAAAATCAAAACTGATGATGAAGAACATAGAGTAGGTATGGGAAACACTCACCCAACATAAACTTCCAGAGAAAGGGGTGGTGAAATGCAGTGGGATCAACTTGTGCTCTACTCCTGACACAACCTGCAAGCCCAGCAGAGCAGGACTGTGGCAGCACTTACAGAACAGACTTCCAAGAACTGCCTGAGGCTGTTCCTGGGCTGAATCAAATGCTTAGTAGGGATGTTTTGCCCTCTGAGTGTGTGCAGGACTTGTCTTCCCTACAGACTTTCTCCTAGAAGGACACATGTCACAATTCTCACGTGATATGCTCTAGGAGAGTGGCATAACTGTATGTGTGTGCTTGCTCTCTCTCTGTGAGCAGGACGGGTATTTTTGCACCGCAGGCTGAGAGTGACATGGCAGGAAAGAGGATGTGTGCAGGTGGCTTACCTAT